TATTAAGAAAATATTACAAACACCTGTAAAAATAATTGAACAAACAAACCGACCATGGAAAATTGCCGAAAACCAATTCAGTGCTCGATTTCTCTCGAAGAAAGAAACCCTTCCTTAAAAGTGTTTCTCCGTTGTTTGTCTCAACGAGCACACGGGACACCATAACATGTTGGTTCCGCTTTAATTGAACCAGCAAGGCGGGGCGGCATTTTCCGGAAAATTAGATACGGTCCACGCGAAAGTAGCTCACGTGTAACCCGTATTACCGCGGAGGGTCCCCGAACGATCGGTCGTGCTCGATGAAATCGTCGAAACGCTTACACTGACGCCAGTGACCGGATTATTTATTTATTTTAGCCTTCCTATCGGCGATTTTACGTGAGATCGCCCGGAAATGTGAAAATAGAGACGAATACACGAGTGCTTTAGTACCAGGACCGCGTGTGTGTATTATCGAGTAAAGTTTTTGAATTAATGTGAAAAGAAAACGAATTTAACAACGTTTTTACAAATATAAATAAATTTTGTACATATAATATTATAAACAATGTTTTTACAAATGTCCATTGATCTAAGTGTGTAGATTCACCTCTAAAGATATGACAATTAATTTTTGTATACCCTGTACAGTATATGTACTGGAGAATGTGAAGGAAAAAGAAATTTAACATTAATTTTCAATCTAATAAACAATTATTTTGCAAATGTTCATTGATCTAAGAGTGTAGATTCACCTCTAAAGATATGACCATTAATTTTTTTACACCCTGTACAGTAAATGTATTGGAGAATGTGGAAGATTTGTTAAGAATGAAATGAAGGGTTTTTTGAGTCATATTAATCCTGGATTTCTGACAAACCCAACAGTACAATTTTCGTTCTGTTTAGAAAATTCAATTTTACAATTTTTGATTTATGTTGTTATTAAATTCAATTAACAAGTATTTCATTGCTTTTTAAAATATATTTAAAATAGAATTTATTTACTTTTTTTCAGTACCTCTCTCACTAATAAGAGTAACAAGTTATGGTCTCGTTACTACAAGTTTAAAAAGCTTCTGTCTATGTTAAAATTTGTAAAATTCCTGGAAATTTGGGTGCGTTAAAATTCTTGAAAACACTGCAAATCCTTGTACCTTGATTTTGAGTTGAGATAGAATGTTGTTGAATAAATTGAGGCAAAGGAACTGAAAAAAAGGAAAGCGAAGAAAAGGAAGTTCGGAAAATTACGTGTTAAATGAAACGAAAACATTCATCTAAAAGTTCATGTAACTACTTCACATCCTTCATCTTCCCCGTACAATTTGTGATCACGAGAAACTTCCAACACGCTAACTTTCCATTTTAATCAGCCCTTTTGTACCGTCATACGGGATTATTCTACGCTGTTCTCGTAAATACTTAACAAATTCTCGAATTCCCGCGATTTTCTCGCAATATCCATCTCACGTGAAAGTCACCACATCCCTTTGCTGGTAAAAACAAACGAAACTCATTAAACTGGACCAAAGGGGTACCGGCACGTAATCGCCGAAACTCCGAAGTTCGCCGTGGAAATTCCGCGAATGAAGCGGGCATAAAGAAGCTCTTAGAGCCGGAGGAAGCTGTGGAAAGTCAAAAAGCTGGTCTCTTGTAGAGCTTTCGTTGCTCGTATCCGGTTGTATACGCTCGGCACACCGCAATCGCATGAATTTCTGAGGGTCGCTGGGGACAAAATTCCAGAGAAGGCGGGCTAAGCTTGCCCCTACGCTAGGAATGTATTATTAAACAATTAATTAGAATGGTCAGGACACGGCTGGACCCCCCTGGCGGCCGTTCTTGAATTATTTAAAAACAGACAGCTGCCACTCTTCGCGTCTTGGATTGGAGAGGCGTGAAATTAATAAGGCTATAATTTCGGTACGCGAGAATTTACGTTTGTGTAAATTGCGTGTAGTAATTTGATTGATAAGTCTGAGATAAGTTGGTAAACACGGAATTTTATTCATTTTTCTATTCAAATTTTGTATCCAAAAGTCAACATATTTATTCAAAATAAGAACCATTACTGTTAAGGCGTATACTGTAGCCGGATTTATGGCAGCGAGTCAAGTGGTCGCCGTCGCAGGCAAATATCGCTTTTTCAAAACACCACAAGTGTTTATTGCGTTGCCTGCGACACTTAGTCCCTAGGACCAGACCCTGCCATAAATCCTGGAGTCTCCGAACGGAAAATAGAAAAGTGGCCCACGACTTTTGCCAACGTCGATGGGCCACTTGACTTTGACAAAGCCTAGAAAAGCGGAGATTCCACAGGATTCCCACGCATCCGTCCACGGAACACTTTCTCCGGTCGTCGTTTACCTCACCCTAAGATAACGCGCTAAGGGCGAAATGGAGGGAGGTTGCGATGCACCCGAGTAAACTGATTGGTGATTTAGAAAAGGAAAAATCACCAATCAGGGTGTTTTTAGGAAAATAGGAGTCTTCTTCGAGGGAAACCGCAGAGACTCCGGCAGAAACATTTAGCGACTCGCAGGAGAAACACTTGGCCACTCGCGAGAGAAACACTTCTCACTTCGCAGTAGAATTTATATCTTGAATTAGTTGTAGAAAATAGAACATAAAATAAAAACTTGGTGTTTCAATCAAGAAACTGGTCCTTGGAAGCCTTAGAACATTAGTCGGCACACACGTGCAAAAACCGGCAAAGTTTGAACGATCGAAAGATCAACCGCAAGCCCCTACAGTACATACATCTTTGCCAATGTTTCGCTAATTTTAAAAAAACTACGAGGTCTGGAACGTCTGTTCCACGTGGCGTTCACTTTGGAAACGCTTTCTCCTTGACAAAATGGTCAAAATGTTTGAACAGATGATAATCTATTGGCGAAAGGTCTGGAGAATAGAGTGGATTTTGTAGAACCTCTTATCCCAGGTTGTTAAACTTGTGCACTGTAATTAATGATACTTGCAGTCGAGCGTTATCTGTTGACTAGTGTTAGACGGATAACTGACAGCTTTTGATGCATTTTGCTAAGTACGTTGCAGGTACTTATTTCTCCCTTCTTCAAACCATTATGCTGAATTATTCCGTCAATAGACCACCAAACAGATAGTACTATCTTTTTCAGATGTGCTTTGTGTTTTGGAAAGTGTGTATGTATGTAGGTGGTTCGTTAAGATCCAACCACTGCTCAGATCTTTTCCGTTTATCATAAAGTACCCACTTTTCATTGCAGATAACTATTCTGTCGGGAAAAGGGTGTTTAATGTTCCGCAGGATATAGGGAGAGCAAATGAAGGATTTGAACCCGCTTGTCCATTTTCTTTCTCTTACCTATGTTTTGTAAGTGACATAAATAAATTAGTGAAACGCTGTCGATTGTAATGGTTCTTATTTTGTATAAATATATTAATTTTTGGCAGAATTGTATAAGAAATTTAATGATCCTTTTTCTTCTTCCTTTGTCTATATTATATTTACAACTGACTCTACAGAGCTAACCAGCAAACTTAGTTCATGTGGATAGTTTGTGCGTGTGATTATCACTCAGTAATGTTTCCAAGTCAGAGAACTGTGTTTTCCTCAGTCTTCTCATTTCTGGAGTTTGCCTTAAGCTTTTAGCCAGTTCATTAAGAGTGTTTCTCTAATCTGTTTCTGTATGTTATAGCAAAATTTCTTTTGTTCTAATTCTTAAAGTAAATTGTCCTTCGTAGAAGCTATCGTTAATAAAAATCATAAGCAAGAAATTATACAGTATGTAACAAAAGTTCACGGACTCCGAGTTTAACAATTTATCGTGGTAGAATAGAAGACAGTACAAATGAAAGCACGATTACCTTCGTAAGTTGCTAATCCTGCTGAGTGACGTCAAATATCCAAAATAAAATTGTCACCACGTAAATTAAACCTTTTTTGCATTCTGAGTTCGGACACTATGGTTACAGACTTCTACAAAAGAATTCTACCAAATATTACGTGCTAATCCCCCATGAAGAGATGTAATTAAGAGCAATCAAAGATCAAAGCAGGTTCTTATTCCCTTAAGTCGTTATGAAAGCTCATTGTGGAAATTTCATGGGAATTTCCACAGGCAAAAGACGAGTCCTCTGGAAAGACCATTCCCGTGTTCCTCGTCCCTTTTCCAATAAATGACAGCATGGAAGCGCACAGCGAGAGTCCATCTAATCAAACATCCACCGTTGGTGTCTTGGTTTCAGGCAATAAACTGATCTGCGACTGCAAGCTGGCATGGATCTGGGGCCTGAGGAACGAGACGAAAAACAAGCAGCTACGGCACTCCCTGGAAGAGCTCACTTGCTTCCTGGAGAGCAATAACGCAACGCTGAAGATCAACAACGAGGACCTCGAATGGAACGAGGCGCTCGAGATTGCACGGAACTCAGGTAGGTTAGACGCTGCTTATACGCTCTCTTCATTTCTGCTGTTCTCCTGTTCAACTCTCTCCTCGACCATTGTGTTAGCCAGATTTTCGAGCGTCGAGTCGCTCATGTCGTCGACCCTTTACCATTCCAAATGTACACGGTGTGACAAAAATGTTGTTTGCACACCGTCCTTGTTTCAGTTATTATTAACCCCTTTTTTCTTATTAATTTTCTTGTTAACCCCTCGACACTTATGATCTACCTTTGCTGACTGTGATATATAAATAGAAAACAATCGTTATAACCATACTATGGCCCCTTTCATACGTAACAATTTTTAATTGAAAAATTGTTCTCTTACTTTCACGGTTCCCAAGATATTCACGTTGGTAATTCTTATTGGTTCACCCGGTATACAGGATGTCCGGAAATCTGAGTATTGTCAAGTCAAATTCTGAGCCAAAATTTGATTTCCATTTCTCGACAGAGAATTACAACGAATTATAAAATTTTTCTCCATTTTTCCTGAGAAAAGCAAGAATTCCCTCGTTAAGGATACCAATTCAATTTCGATCTCAACGTCGACATTCCTGAAACAGTGACAAAGTATGTAACTTACGGTTTTAGTACTGTATTAGGTAAGAAAAGCTAAAAAGGCTGTTCAAGGCTGTTTGTCCACTAAAAGATAGGCGAACAAAAGTTATACGGTTCCGTTTAAATAGCTATGGTGACATGGATAATTTTGAAAAAAAAAGAATACCTTAGAAAACATATACTGCAATCAGTCTGTAGACTCCTGTAAACTAAGGCATTTAAGAAAAACAAAGAATTGTATTGGTCCAGTAGTACCGGAAATAATTAAGGTGATAAAGTTACGTTGTCCACTCTGTAGGTTAACTACATTTGGTAATCCTCGTAAATTAAAACGAAAGTTAGAATTTGTAAGGATATGGTTGAGTGAAGGTAGGGACTCGGGCCGGTTTGTGACCCGCAGACCGAGAGGTCCCAACGCCTGACTCCCCCACGCGCTAAGGGCTGGGTCAGTAAGGACCCAGCCACGTGCTCATGACCCGCAGACCGAGAGGTCCCAACGCCTGACTCCCCCACGCGCTAAGGGCTGGGTCAGTAAGGACTCAGCCACGTGCTCGCGCGACGCGGTCCTTGCCGGGTAGAAACCCCCAACTTGCGCCAGGGTTTCCCGAAGGCAAGAGAGGGGCGTCAAAGCCGGCATATAAGGACGCGTTAGGAGCACTGCGGGCAGAAACATAAGAACTATAAGAATTGTAAGAATTGTAAGCATTGCAGGAGAGTAAATTGAGCCGCGTAGTCAACGACGGAATAAATATAGTTTTTTTTTAATTATCTTACGAAGCACTATTTAAACTGAAACTCCTTACAAATTAACATTAATTTTTGTTACTAATATAACTATTTTTGTCGTATCTTGGCCAGAATTTATAACACGTGTCTGACTTATTATAAGGCAAGGGTTTAATGTGCATATTAATTGGTCATATTCGCACTCGTCGAAATTTTTCTAAAATTTTCTGTCTAAAGAGTATCAGTGCAAAGTGAACTTACTTCACTCACTTAAAAAAAATGACAAAGTATCATTCCTTACATTTAAATAATGTACTGTTAATTCAACTGTTTTCATAGCGATTCAAACGTAGACATTTTTCTATATCAGAAAAACATCCTGAGTTTTACACTGCCACTCATATGTTTCATACATATACTTCCGTTCATAAGTATTAGGACACTTATTGAACGCGAAGCGAACTTAAACAGTCATCAGAAAGTTATTAAAATCCTAAACAAAAATATTCAATTCAGTCAAAAAATAACATTTAGTTTGGAATTTCGCAACGTAATGAATAGAAATATTTTTACTGATATATGATACTAACTTTCACGAAGAAATGTTGCTTAATTTATAATACTCTCTGTAGGAACATAAATTGTGTCCTAATACTTACGAACGACAATATATTTTCCCACAATATTCTTTATTTCCATAAGCAACTTCGTTTAACCAGTTTCTAAGCAAGAAATCAAAAATTTCACTTGTTTTGTAACTTTCGTTCTAAATAAATTTATCAATTTTTTAATAAAACAAGATAAAGTAGATAGACAAATACTTATGAGTGGTTCAATGATACGACATTTTTGCCTCAAATTTTCTTGAAACGTATCGAGAAAAGGAATAATTACAAGGATTTTACCTATACTTCTGACACGCTCGAAAGATTTAAGCAGAATTAACAGATAAGTGATGATAATAAATAAGAAATTCTTTCGAAGACAAACCCTTTAGCGAAAAATTCAAGTTAAAATTAACAATTTTTCTCTGGATAAAGATTAAAACACTTTCATTGTACCGACTATGGAAAATGAGAAATTTAATTAGCAGAATGATTTGTTAAGAAACGTGGATAAGTGTAAATATTTTTTTTTTCTTTTTACCCCTTGTATATATTCAGAAGATGGTAACTTCTCGTCCAGAATGGTTAACGTTCATTGTGGAGAGAAAAAGGGTTGGAGATGGTGGACTGCGTTCGTTTGCACGCAGTTTCATTATTGTAATGAAAGAATAAGGGCTGCTCCTTGGGATCGTCCATTGTTCTACAGGATGATTAACTGTGTAGCTTTTTACCCCGGATTGTTTTTCAAGTATTGATCAGTGGGTGGGTGGGTCAAGATGGTGTGATTATGTTAGATTTTAACTCTGTTCAACTCTGTTAATTAGGAACGCATAATAATAACAGTATCCTCGTATTATTGAAATACCTAAAATTACAATTACTCGGTACTTGGATAATGTTAATTGAGAATCAAAGTACAAAACTTTGCAAACTAAATATTCCTATACAGGGTGTCTCGTAACTCCTCGAACACCCGGAAATGGGGGGTTGCTGGGGTGACTCTGAACAACTTTTTCCTTTTCCAAAATCCAGTTTGAAGCTTCGTTTTTGAATTATTAACGAAAAACACTGGCCAATCAGAGCGTGCGTAGAGCCCGCGCTCAGGGACGAAGAACAGAGGCTATTTTCAGGCCTTCGTTATTTTCTTCACGATTTCGACTAGCTGTCAAAAAAATTTCACTTTGCACTGCTGTTTTTACAAGGCTTAGAGAAATGGTTTTTGGCCGTCATTCCGACGTTTGTATAAATTTTTGAAAACACTGCAATTAGCCTGAATCGCGAAGAAAATAGCGAAGGTCGTTTTTACAACTTTTTTATCTGAGCTCGAAATGAAAATCTAAAAAATACGTTTTGTAGATCTATGTCAATGATACACGTGCTGATAATTTCATCGAAATTGGTTAATGTTTCTATGAGCTACAAACGGTTAAAGATGATAAAAATCGCACTATCACGACTTTCAGCGTAAAACTGTAATAAATCTAACAAGTAAGTCGTTTAATAACTGTGTCCGATACTTTTATTCGTTATCCGAAAGGAATAAAGTGTTTTATTACTTATGAAAAACTTACCCATTCGTCCACGAATTAATCTGCTTCGACGGAACTGGGTCAGTATGTCGATCCTGACCTATCCGAAACATGTGATGTTACGACCGGGTCGGTGAACTCACATGATCGTTCCTCGCGAAACGTCGCGCGGTCCCCGGGGAAAGTGGGGATGTGTAGACAATCAATCTTGGAAACGTTAAAAATATTCGTTACAAAAATGGGATGCGACAAATAATTAAACGAAGTAGAAATTCAAACTATGTTGGAGTTAAGAAAACAAAGTTTATCAATTTCAAAAATTGCAAAGTCCGTTAAGAGAAGCCGGAAAGTTATTCGTAACGTATTGGAAGATGTGAATAATTATGGTACAAGGAAGAGTAGAGGACGACCTCCTGCGGTTTCTGCTCGTGAAGAACATGCAACTTCTGTTTATACACACAAGGAAAAACAGGGAAGCTTCAGTTTGTAGTTACATATTATATTACCACTTGGTAATGTTTATATACCATTCGTCGCGTTTGATGAATTTCGAGTGTAACCCTGAGAGCTTAACCCTTTCATTACTATTGGCGCCTATAGGCGTTTTGAAAATTTGCTCGCACTATATTGTTGGAGCTACTTGATGCACTTCCACCTTAATTTAATACTAAATTTTATCCTTTACGCATTTCCACCTTAGTTTAATAAATCAAAATTTAAAACGATCTGGCCAAAAGAACATATTTTGCAGCTGTGATTAAAAATTTACTGTCAGTCATCCACGTTACGCAGTAAAATTTGTCGTAGCGAAAGGGTTAATGGTAGCACACGTGTGCTATCTCTTTGTCCAGAAGTGTACTTGATACACAGATTAATCAGGAATTTACTACTGTTATTACACAGACAGGAACAAATATTAGCTGAAACAATTAACGAATGGAGTACACGATATTTTAGAAAGAAATCCAATTATCCGTATCCTTTGTATTTACCATCTATTTCCACTTCATTGTTCACTGCCGCGCGGACTTTGTTTTCGGGCCACGAATTAATCGAATCGCGCGCAAACAATGCGTTACCGTTACAGTTTCTTTCGATTCGAACAAATTTTATCGGGATATTGACCTCTCGTAATTGGAAAGGCTGTAACGTAAATCACCGATATATTAAATTTTGTTTTCATTTATTTCGCCATTTTTCTCACCCCCCTTATACATCGTTTATCATTACAAGTACCAAGGAGGAAATGAAAAAAAATTCGAGGATAAAGCAAAATAAAAGAAAATACAATAAAACAGAACACGTACCATTTAAGGACAAAGAAAGTTTTGTTTCATTGTTAGTGATATCGACAATTATTCTATTAAATTTCGTCCCATTGTTCCGTTACCACAGTATCATTACTCCAGGTGGAATAAAAATGCAATTATAGTTGAACGTTTACACCGTTTCGATGTAAACAATGCAACGCGCGACGTGGTAACAAAAAAGAGACATCGAACGGGGTAATTTAATTAAGCTTCTGGACGTGTCGAGTGAAATTTGTAAAAAAATTCGTTTTTCCCTTCTTTTTTCCTCGTGTTTCAATCTCTAGCGATTGGATTACAAAGTTTTCACTTTACAACCGAATAAAAATTGTTCAATTTTGAGTTCGTCGATGGCCAATAACAATAGAATTTCCGATACTCCTCAATCGAGATATTCGTTATTTCGAATTACAAATTCTCTGCTCGATAAAGAGAACGTTCGAATTAATTGCATGATATTTCTCGAAGGATTTCCAATTTTCCTGTCCATCTACTTCAAATAGAATTTTAATCGTATTCGACTATATATTTCTGGAAATAAAAAAAAATACAAGAAATTCGTATGAAAATAACAGAAAATTCAGAACCAATCGACGAAAATAAGAACTCTCACATCTACGGTGCTTACGTCACGAAACCATAGCACGTAGTGAAGCACCGTAGGAGTGGGAGGCCAGTCGAGGCGCGACTTGTGGTGGGGGAAGCGTCCTCGTACACGCCATAAATTTCACCCAGACTATAATTACTCCGTATACCTTTAGACATCCCACTCCGTTCATAATCACCCTTCTCTCCCCTCCTCGTTTATCTTCCATTCCATTATCGGTGCATTTTATATTAGACAGTGTTTCGAATTGAACTCCACAGCTATGAAATATTCACGATAAATGTATTAGGTCGTGTAATATGAAGTGTCGAATTGAAATATCACGTTCGTCTTAATTAGCGTCAAATGTGAATCTTTAGATTCTCCAATAGTAACCTAACACTTTGTCCACCGGAAACGTGAATTAAAAATGCTTAAGTAAATATTGAAAATGCTTTGTTCCTCGCAAGAGAAAAAAAAATTCACAATTGCAATATTGTAGGAAATATATGACATCGTACTTAATAACCGTTATATCCATGCATCATTTTGTATTTTAGTGAAAATTGAGGTAATCATAGGTTTAATTAATCGTAAACTGTCGCGTGTATTATAATAAAATACATTGACATCGAAGCCGATTTATTGAAAATTTTGTATTCATATTTCGTTATTATATAAAAATAGAAGTTCTAATAATTAATTATAATTACGATATTTGACACTGTATCCTTTACTTTGCTTCGTATTCTGAATTTAAATACCGACAGAAAATGGATTATGAATAACGAAAATATATTTTTAAAGGAAAATTTTGCTATTTCATCAGGTATCCCTTATAATTACGATGATAATCAAAGTCTCTTTAATGTATCCTTAACCCTTTGAACTCCAAATTTTTTTTTAAATTTTCTTCTCAATAACTCCCTATTATTTTAAGAATTTTATTTGAAATGCATTTTAATAGACATTTGGTTGATAGGAACCAATTTAAACAATTATTTTTACTAATTATATTGAAAATAGCATTAACCCTTTAACCTACAACAACGTGTCAGACTCGTGGCAGACATTCTGGTCAAGATGTGACGAAAATAGATATATTAGTAAGAAAAATTCACTGTAATCCTAACTTTCGTTTTAATCTGTAAAATTAAGGATTCCTAAATGTAATTAACCTGTAACAGATTAACTTTTGTTACTTGAGTTACAGTACTGAAACATTAAATGGCTGACGCTTAGATGCATAGTCGGAAAAGAAATCATAGGTTAAGGGGTTAAGAGTCATATACATGTATGTGTACCTATTGCTCATATTTAAACTGGTAATTTAAAAATTACTTCATTCACATCTGTGAATAAAACTGATGTCGAGTCACACTAGACAAAGAAGTCCAAAGGGTTAAATTCTCGTATCAATATCTCAATTAATTCAAAAGTCAAAACAATTTCAATAATACCAACCAAATTGTTTTCCTCATTTTCCGAAAATGCCTCCGATAACAAGTTCCTAGTAAAAGCGCCCGGCTAGTAAAGTGTTTAACAAGAATTGCACGAATTTCCACTTAACACGAACAAATTCGGTACTTTTCAACATACGAGCTCGACACAATGAAATAGGAATATTTCAACGAAAAATCACGAAACACATATTCCTTCTTAAACAAAAAGACGGAGAGTTTGAAAATTTTCATTTCATTCCATTTTATTCCAACTGCGAAATTCCACTTTCACGTGTCCTGCTTCGAAGTGTGGAAAGAGGTAGAAGGGAAAAAGCAACAGCCGCGAATGCATTTTCAACGGCTGCTCTGTATGCATTTTGTTCGAATTTTCGGTTCTTCGCTGTTACAGGGGAATATCGCGCCAGTGGCCTGAGAGGCAGCAACATCGAGGACGACAACCTATACATCGGCGACGACTACGAGAGCAAAGATGGATACGAGGATTCCTCCTCGAATTCCGATTTTCAGCCGGAGGTAAGATATACGTTTACCTTCTGTATTTTTCTTTCTACCGCCGGGGGAGCCGGGATCAATTTCCCCTCCTCCCCTCGCGATTCGCCGGAGGAATCTCCCGCGGAATTAAGGGACGGCCAGTGTGCCATTATACTTCCTGTTTTTTTTCTTCTCTTTTTTTATGTTTATTTACATTGTAAATGATACAGAGATGCATCGTCTCATATTTCCACTGTTTATTCCAGACTTTGCTCCTTTCTTTGGGAAAATATGTTTATTCCGCGAGTAATTCAGTTTCGTACTCCTTTTCTTAAAATATCTCTTTTTTTTTGTATGATGATTTTTGTCTTCAGAAAATTTTGGTGAAAATTTTGGGGGAAACTGGGTGCTAAATATATGAATTACTTGTAATTTTAATTTTGTGGAAAATGTATTTCATTATATTGATATTTATTCATGGAACATTGAGAAGTTTGTTTGTAAATTTTTCGAGTCGAGCTTCGACAGTTGGCGAGAAAAATAGTTACATATGAAAATTAGCAAATCGAAATTTCTTTAAAATACACTTCACTTATCTCTGTGATAGTTTATAGTTAAAAATTTGAACGATTCAATGCTGTTATTTTCATGCGATTAAATTCATAAGTGTTTCATGTTAAAACTTTCCTTAAAGGATCTCTATTTTTTTTTTTTTTCTTTAATGATAATGTATATTTGCAAACTTTTTCCATTCGATTTACTACTTTTCTCAGAAACTATCAGAACTCAACGGAAAGAATTCACAGAAAAATCCTCAACTTTCCACAAATTAAGAACACAATTTCCACGAAATTAAGAATAAAATGTCGAAAAAAAAGGCCGAATAAAATTATAATAATCCCAAAAGAACCCGTCGAAGTGATAAACCATCGTGTTTCGCTGGAGTTTCACAGGAAGCACCGTTCCCTCCAGAGAATACAAGGGACACCGTCGTTATAAAACCGCTGGAATTTCTTATCACGAAGCCACCTTTGGTTTCCCCTGATTTTTCGACGTGCGCGGAATTTCCCGGGGAATATTTTTTATTTAAATGACCGACAGGCGATAACGCGGATAAGCTGGCCAGGCGTGACGATTTTTCGAAAGCCACGAAACGACGATCGGAAGGAAAAACAAAGCGTTTCGACGTTGTTCTTTTTTTCTCTCCCCACTCACTGAAGTTCATTTATTCGTTCCCTTTTTTGTCTAACGAAGATTAATCGCGCCATAAAGTTCGAAACGAGCGGTTTAACAGCCTGTACGCCGTCCAGTGAATTTGTTTAACAACAAACCACGCTAGATTTCCATTTTTACGTATGCAATTGTGAACTGTCTGCACACTTGTTCTCTCTCTCTCTCTCTCCCTTTCTCTCTTTCTCTCTCTCACCTCTGCCTCGATTATGATCGAAATAAAGCGGCGACGATAATTCAGCGGCAGAAACCGATTTCGAGCAAGTGTCTCGGGTGTTTCTGTGTTTCCACTCGTGTTCTCCGGAAATGGTGAGCGATTTATGAGGTGAAAAACAGAGGTTACCGCGAATACGGCGAAATTGTTTTAACGTTTGGCCAGATGGAATTAATTCGAGAGGATTATAAAACGCGGAAAATCGAATTACGGCTAGGTGCTTAATGAAGAATCAACCGAACCAGCTCGATTACGCTGGGAAAACAAATCGAAGTAACATATCCATCAAACGATTGCTCCGCCACTCTCGTTTTTATTTTTCTCCCCCCACCCCCTTCTTTTCGCGTATTTCTCTTAATTATTTTCATGCTCGTGTTTATCGTTGGTAAACAGTCGCTCGCGATTCGTTTTTCGAAATTACACGTTGTAATTGATTCGATGATACGCCTTACACGACGAGAGAGCCTGGAATTTTTATCTGTATTTAAAATCCTCGGTAATTGCTCGCAGTTCGTTTGGTGTACAATAGAGTGGTGATTAATCGGCTGGTGTAATGAATATCGTAAGAAATTAATTAGAAACTTTTTAGATTAAATTTTATTACTATTTAAAATATAAAATGAAATTTCTATTTCTTTTTTTCCGATAAGTTACAAATTAGCATAATATTTTTATAATTTTATTAATAGATAAAAGTAACTTTAAACATTGACAACTATTGAAATTTTCCAAATAAACGTATGTCACATGAAGAGTCAAGTATACTACAGCTGAAAAGTATTTGCCTAGCCTTTTCTTTATTGTGGAAAATTTTATTTCCAGAGAACATGCTGTGGATATAACTTGTCTGTTGGCTCTTATGATAAAGAAAAATAAGTAGACCGGTGCCAAACGTTACAATTTTGAGAAAACGTCAAAAATGACCAAGAAATAATATAGATATTCTCTTCACTATTAACTAGTTTACTGTTAAATTTATGGTACTTTAAGATTTCAAGCTTATATTTAACATATTGTAAATAGTTTTTCGTAAGGAGTCGTTTATTTACAACTCGGCGAAGCGTGAAAAATGTCTACAAAGTTTTAAACTTTAGTCTTTTTCACTAAATAATCTGTTTCAAAATTAGATATTGTATTTATTTACATTTTTATTGAAATTAAATTAAATCTCCCAAGAATTTTGTGGGTTAACTAGAGTTAGCGTGAATCTTGAGTCTCGAAGAAGAGAAAATGGCGAGCTTCGATAGTGAGAGGTTAACTTAACCTATAACATACATAATAACAAGCAATATATCGTTTAAATTGGAACGTACATTTAGATTGTCAATTTTTGATAAAAATATGCCAAAAGATCTCAAAAATTTCCCCAAATAACCTCCATGTTCTCCTCTCAAAGCTCAAATTAAAGCAGAATTGCACTTTAAACCTTCAGAAAGTTCAAGAGAAGCTAAAAAAATGTCTACAAAGTTTTAAACTTTAGTCTTTTTCACTAAATAATCTATTTCAAAATTAGATATTGTATTCATTAATTTTTTTATTGAAATTAAATTAAGTCTCCCAAGAATTTTGTGGGTTAACTAGAGTTAGCGTGAATCTTAAGTCTCGAAGAAGAGAAAATGGCGAGTTTCGATACTGAGAGGTTAACTTAACCTATAATATACATAATAGCAAGCAATATATCGTTTAAATTAGAATGTACATGATAAAAACATACCAAAGAGATCTTCAAAATTTCTCCAAGTATGTAATCACAGCGGCTTAAAACCGCGGGAACATTGAAAATGACCTAATACCACCGAAAACACAAAATACTTACCTCGTTTCTTCATCTGATCGTAATAATTTGATCACCCACTGTATACATAATCTGTTGCAGATGCAGATGGTCGAGGGTAAGGTACACTACAAGAGGACCCTGTTGGACCTGAAGTTGGAGGAGCTTCCGTGCCCAGAGCCCTCGAGGGAGGATCTAATGGCGTCCGAGCAGCCATCGAGTCGCCATGAGAACGCTCGCGTGGGTTCCTCGGGTTCCATCTGGTCCTCGTCCTCGCCTGCCCTTCTACGCCTCGACCTGTCCGTCCTCCTATACTCTATGCTCCTGTTGCCGTCAGTGTTGTTCACGTAGAAGCGGCTCTGCTCGTCAGACGACCCAGCAAACAGATTGGAAGGACGGCCCGTGCACGAGGACGAGGACGGTTCTCGGTATCCCGAAACATAAAAGCGTGTATAATCGAATCGCGCATGGTGTGTGTGTACGTGTTCTGTGTGCGTGTCTGCGCGTGAGAGTGTATGTGTATCGTCGCGTGTGTCCTCAGACGGGGGTTCTGGATCGATGTTCCGGATTGATGATGTTCCGGATTTTCTGACGCGCTTCCAGCGATCATTCTCGTCTTCTCGTCTGACGCCTCTTCTCTGAGGGTGAAATCTTGCAAGTGAGATTATCGGCGGAATTGGTAACTGAAGATTATGACAGTTTCCGATTTCTCTCGAGTCTCGAAGTGAATGAGGAAGTCGCGACTAATTTTTCGAATTGGAGAAATTCTGAATGCAAGATGGAACCAGTGGATTTGGAGTCTTTTCTTTTTTTGTGGAATTTCAAAACAATCAAATTGGTACAGAATTCTTATCCGTTCTGAAAGTTGAGATATTTCATATTTCAAGCTTTGCCAAGTGAATAACGCGGGAAAGTCGAAAACAATTGGAAGAAAATTCTGATCTTTGACCTCGTACATGACAAAGTGTCTATCAAAATTTCTCCTGAAACCTAGTGAATTTGAACTATCCTTAGAATCTTCCCCTTTGAAGCTTGAATAAGGTGAAATTAACATCTTGAGAAGCATCAGCCATCGGTCCCACGTCAACGAGAAGGTAAGACGACCGCGGAAGTTGGATGAAACGAGTCACTTCGATTGGTTCTTCTTCCGACGAAGAAAGCTTTGATCATGTCAGCTCGTTCCAGAACGATCTATAGGATGACCCCATTCGCTGAGGACACGTCGAAGAGACTCGAACGGATTATCGAGCGCGATTTCGTGGCCAAGACACAAGGAATATACTTGGAAATATTTATCTTCGACGGGAAGGCACGTTCGATATCATTTTTCCCGCGCACGGACTCGTTATCGCTGTGTACGATTATATGATTGCTTGAAACAGCTCTGGCACTTGTTCAGTGGCCATTTTGTAATTATCAAACTTTTTGACGTACTTTTTCCACCGTTAACGGTGTCTCTTCACCGATGCTCGATATT